GATCATATCACTAGATGCAGAAAAAGCTTTTGATAAAATCCAGCACCCCTTCTTGATAAAAACCCTCAAACATCTAGGCATACGGCGAACATACCTCAAAATAGTAAAAGCCATCTACGAGAAACGCACAGCCAGCATACTCCTAAACGGAAAAAATTGGAAACATTTCCCCTGAAAACTGGAAAAAGACAAGGATGCCCACTCTCACCCCTGCTGTTCAATATAGTATTGGAAGTCCTGGCTAGAGCAATCAGAGAAGAGAAGGCAATCAGGGGTATCCAAATAGGAAAAGAGGAAGTCAAGTTATCTCTCTTTGCAGATGACATGATCGTGTACCTTGAAAACCCAAGAGAATCTGTCAAAAACCTCCTTACACTGAAAAAGAACTTTGGCAAAGTCTCAGGATATAAAATAAATGTGTAAAAGACAATCACACTTCTTTACACCAATAATAAACAAACAGAAACCCAAATAAAAACCACAATTACATTCACAATAGCCACACACACACAAAAAAAGAAATACCTTGGCATCTTTCTAACCAGAAATGTGAAAGACCTTTACAGTGAAAACTATAAAACACTGCTCAAAGAAATCAAAGATTACACAAACAAGTGGAAAAATATCCCATGCTGATGGATTGGAAGAATCAACATTGTGAAGATAGCCATCCTACCTAAGGCAATCTACAGATTTAATGCAATGCACATCAAATTACCAGCAATGTTCTTCTCAGACCTGGAAAAAAACAACACCGGAATTCATATGGAAACACAAATGGCCAAGAATAGCCAGAACAATTCTTAGCAAAAAAAAAAAAAAAAACAAAAAAACAAGCAAAGCAGGTGGTATCAATTACCAGACTTCAAAATTTACTATAAAGCTACAATAATCAAAACAGCTTGGTACTGGTACAGGCATATAGACCAAAGGAATAGAATTGAGATTCCAGAAGCAAAATCTCAATTTCTCAACCAATTCATCTTCAACAAAGCCTCCACCACCTACCACTGGGGAGAGGAGAACCTATTCAATAAATGGTGCTGGGAAAACTGGTTGATCACATGCAGAAGATTGAAACAGGACCCCTATCTATCCCCATACACAAAAATTAACTCTAAATGGATCAGAGACCTAAATGTAAAACCTCAAACCATAAGAACCTTAGAAAATGAAGGACATACCCTCATGGAAATTGGAACTGGCATCCAATTCCTGAACAAAACCTGAAACCCACAGG